GGTAGAGAGGCAAACTCTAAACCCTTCAAAGGCAATTCAATTGCTGTCCATAGGCAACATGAAAAAATTTCAATGCACTGTTTACTTTGGTGATCAGATAATGTGAAAACAAAGTACAGTCTTGAGTTAAAGATTCACACTGATATTTGTCTGAATACTGCAGTTGAGGAGAATCTGACTGTGTATATCCAACTGCTTAGTGCTGTTCCTGGCTTGTCTGAAACACATTTCCTTTCCTTGTCACAACTCCCAGGTGCTACTGCTGAGCAAATAGTAACATCACTGCCAGAAGTATTTGAAAAGAACAAAAAAAATTGATTTGGACAATCTGTGTGCTCTTGTCATTGATGGAGACACTACTGTGAGTAGTGTTGGGGCTGAGGTCACAACAAGGTTAAAAGAAAAGTGCCCAGGAATTCTCTCCTGTCACATTTCACACTGAATTGTTCCTGTTTCACAACAGATGCTACAGACAATGCACTGTGCTCCATTAAATACAGGGAATCATTTAGCTACGTTTACAAGCTACACTGACAACTCACTCCAGAATTACTGTACTTGAAAGGTTACATGGAAAGGGCTAGAATATTCCATCAGGCAGGCACTAGATGCTATATTTATACATGCCACGTAAAAAGCAAGGAACAAAAGCAGGAATGAACAGGGCCCCAGCTGTTTACAAGTGAGGGTGATGTTGCTCTCCTTATTCAGGAGTATAATGCACCTCATCTGAAGCCAGTGAAGACTGTAGCTATCAGGTGAGAATCCTGGTAGCATGGGTAAAGGTCATAATTTAGATAAACATATTCCCTATAGCATTGCCTTTTTTTTTTTAATCCTGTGCATGGCCCTGTACAAGCAAGAGGCTTGAAGCTAACCACGAGATGGGCTGGGAGGTTATTCTGCCTAGTTCTTATCTGCACCTATGCCTGTTCTCTCCTACTTACTTTGGGAGCCTGTAACCACCTTGAACACCCAACAGAGCAGCATGCAAGCATTTACACGATCAAAGGTAAAATGTGCTTAAGACAGACTTTGGAAATCCAGCACAATTTGGCAAACTTCAAAGATAGTTGCCTTTCAAACGGGTTGTGGAGGAGGCCTTGGTAAATTTGAATGGTATGATTAGCATACCGGCTGTTTTTAAAACTGCTCAAGAAGAAGCTGTGTTAAAATCCATTTCCGCAAGACACACGCATTTTCTTTTGGACAGGCTCCACTAGCTCTGTTTCTTAAATCAATTTTTCTGGCACGGATTTCTTCTTGGAAGAATGTACGACACCAGCTCAGTTTCCTAACCAAAACTTGACAGAATGTGTGCAGCACAGCATAATGGCATCTCTGCCTCATGGCTTCCTAAAAGTTACAGTACAGAAACCTCGGAAGTGAATTTGACTGTTCCAGGTCACATCTGCTGAACGGCGAGCGAGACGACAGAAGATGCCAGGGTAGCCTGTCCAGCACAGTGTTCAAACACTGGTGAGGGCCACTGATAAAAGGTTTGCCAAAACGGGAGTTGCCAAGGTCTTAGAGGAGTTTCAGGGATGTTTTCAAGTCTTACTAGATTTAAAGGATGATCCTTGGCAAACTCCCCCTGATGCTTCTCAGCATTTCTAGAGCCAACAGTTGTTCCATCTGCCGCTGAGGCCGACTTTGAAGAATCCTTGCAAAGAGCAGCACACTAACTTTAACACTACACAAGAGAGGAAAAAACACAGCTTTTCAGAAGTGACCTAGATGTTTGCCAGTAGCTTGACACACTCTCAGGTAAGGCTGTCTCCTTGTCTCCAAACACTTGAGTGTATTACCAAAGCTGCGCCAGTGTAAACTGTGGGCTGAAAACAGAGATTCAGTAAACAGCATTTATTGAAAGCTTGTCTAAGGCATTAAGTGTTCATCTGTACTGATGTACAGTAGCAGCTAGAAAGACCACCACAAACTAGTTTCAAGAACCAAATTGCTGCCGGAGACTGAAAAAAAAAAACCAATTAAAAAATGGCTGGAAAACTCAGACAGGTACTCCCTGACAACAGCTAGAAAAATTAAATTTTAAAAAAATCAGAAGACACAATAAACTTTTGGGGATGTTGAACACAAACAATCTCTGAAAAAGCAAAGGAAGGTCCACACAGACACAAACGAAGGTGTTTAGTTTCAACACATAAGCTTCAGTTTCTGCCATTGTGACAGATTTGCCAGCACGTTTTCTGAGCCAGGCCACTGCACTATTGTATAAGCTTTATTCTAATTACTGTAGGCTCTGTAAAGGTTTCTTTATCGTTTAGTATTATAAATAATTGTGCTTCCAGGCTGGGGTTCAAAGCTCAGAACAGCACTCGCACAACAGCACAGGCAGGTCAGGTGACCTTTCTCCAATTCTCCTCTCCCTGGTGCTGAGGACAGACAAAGTGATATGTCTGTCATACGCCATTACCATTAGAACAGAATCTTGTTCTTTTATTACAACTGAACTCCGCCGGATTTCTCAGCAGGAATGCTAAGTGAAATCAATGTCTTGGATTTCCAGGCTGAGCTTGGAGGTCACAGCCACTCTATCATTTCTCAGCATTATCCCTTCTCTTTCTCTCGCGCTCTCTCTGAGCCTCCAACTGGCACACAGCAGATTGAAAACAGCATGCATCACAGGGCTTACGCTGCACAATTTTACAGCCTTTTGGAGCCCCCTTCCTTTCCTTTTGGCCCACTTTTTTATTTTTTTTTTTTTTCCCAATTTGCAAGTAAGTTTTGTTTGTCTCCCACAGACCTGCAAGCCAAAGGCACTGCAACACCTACAAATATGAAAAAGCAATAAAACGTAAGGGAGGACAGAACTGATCTTGACAGCTGCCAGTTAAGATGGTTATGCTCGATGATACCAATAGATATGGCAGGCCTTCTAATCCTGCAGTTGCCACAAAATACACACTGTGCCCCTTAGATCTCATCAGACATTCTGCTTGTGCACAAGAGAACAACACCGGGATTTTAAGTGTAGGATATCTTACAAGCCACTAATCACACTCAAAAAACCCCCTGTAAAATGCACAAAAATCTCTCGTTAACCATAGACATAACTTCTTTTTTTTTTTTAAAACCCCAAAAATTCTACCATCAAGCACTGCACAGCTTTATGATTCCTTACTCTAAGTGAAGAGATCAAGCCAAGGATAAACTTCAGGAAGTCAGAAAGTCTACACTAAGGAGAGAATAAAGACAGCATAGATGAGCTTGACTCATTAACACAACAGCTACTGATTTCAAGTCATGTCTTTTATTCCTTGAACATGTATCTCACTGAGCTGACAATGGTATTATTTATTTGTCTGGTTATTTTTAATCTGTGCTGTTTTACTGTTAGGGTAAAAACAAGACACTACTGTCAATTCAAGGAACCTTTCCTAATGTGATAAAGGACATGGACAGCATGCTAGGGGACACTAACAAAAAGAAAGGACACATTTTTATGAAGCTCTTGCTGTCACCTAAATAGGACCGCTTTCTCCCAGCACTCCTCAGCTAAATTCTGCCTAGTTGTTTTGCAACACCTAAGATGTGCCATTCAATGCTGATCTGTTAATTTTGCTCAGCTGTGGCACACAGTGAGCTCACCTTCTTCGACTGCACTTATTCTGTGCCTTTTGCCTCGGTATAGCTAGACACACACTGAGGGCATTATACAGGTGTGACTCCCAGCTGTTAGCTTGACCTCTTAACTGAGTATGGACTGAACTGCCCAGCTATGACCAAGATTATTCATCAGAGCCCATCACTCAGTGGACAGATTTCAGCTCTGTTCTATGACACGACAGACACTGCTTTGGAGACTTCACAGAATCAAAGAATATGCTGAGTTGGAAGGAACCCAAAAGGATCATCGAGTCTAACTTTTAGCCCTGCACAGGACCTTCCCCAAGAGTCACACCATGTGCCTGAGAGTATCATCCAAACGCTTCTTGAGCTCTGTTAGCCTTGGTGCTGTGACCACTGCCCAGGGGAGCCTGTTCCAGTGCCCAACCCACTCTGTGGGTGAAGAACTTTTTTCTAATATCCAACCTAAACCTCCCCTCACACAACTTCAGGCCACTTCCTCAGGTCCTGTCACTGGTCACCACATAGAAGAGATCAGTGCCTGCACCTCCTCTTCCTCTCATGAGGAACCTGTAACTGCAGTGAGGTCTTCCCTCAGTCTCCTCTTCTTCAGGCTGAACAGACCAACCAACCTCAGTCCCTATTCACACACTTCCCCTCAGGGCCCTTCACCATCTTTGTTGACCTCCTTTGGACACTCTCTAAGAGCTTTATATCTTTCTTATATTGTGGCACCCAAAACTGCACACAATATTTAAGGTGAGGCCACCTCAGTGCAGAGCAGAGTGGGGCAATCCCCTCCCTCGACTGGCTGGCAATGCTGTGCCTGAAGCCCCCAGGACACAGTTGGCCCTCCTGACCGCCAGGGCACTGCTGACTCATACTGAATATGTCATCAACCAGGACCCCCAGGTCCCTTTCTGTGGCACTGATCTCCAGCATATCACCCCCTAGCCTGTACTCGTTCCTCCACAAACTCCAGCTCTACTCCAGGACAGAATCTGGCCACAGATGAGGTGCCCCAAAACCTTTCATCTCTTGCTGACACACTGCTAACCAGACTCCACGTTGAGAGGAAACAACAGTTGTGTGCTGGAATAGGAGGCTGAAGTGCCACCTGTTACTGAAGATGGAAGAAACAGAACTGTGATAGCGAGGACACAGCAAGGGAACCCACAGGATCTCAGCTGAGGTGGTCTGCTACTGACACTGTGTATGAATGGTCGTTTGGTATTACTGCACTGGGGCCTTCCCACTGGAAAAATGGCACTACGAATACGCTCCCTTTTCAGGGAGCCATCCTGAGAACAAAGCTGCTGCAACTGAGAGCCTCACAGTCACCCTTCAGAAAAAAACTACATGCAAGTCCCCACATTGTCAGAAAGGCAGTGCTGCCAGGCCTGGTACAGTACCTTGCTTTTGGGTGGAGGGCTGTTTGTGCTCTTGTCTGTGTGGATGCTGGTAGGGGATACGGCAGCACCAAGGTTACCCTGGGGTATGCCAGGTATCTTGCCTCCTGGAGACACTTGCATCGCAGCAAGTTGGGCAGCATACAACTGCTGTAGAAACAAAACAAAACGAAACAAAAAGAAAAAAAATTGAGGTGAGGGGGGAAGAGATGAGTGACATCATCAATAAATAAATAATCTTTCCAAAACTTCTCCTACTGCAGAGGATGTATTTTTCTTCTGATGGGTATTTTTTATTTAACACGTATATTTCAAGACAAGAATTGTCATCTCAACTTCTGTGACTCATTCCTCAGAGGATGAATGAGAGACGTCACCATGAGAAATGTCCCAGCATCCCTGTGTGTCCAGGGATTCAAAACAAGGAACAAAAGCTAATCTTCATGGTTTGCCTGAGCTACTGGGCAATCTTTCCTTTCCTGAGATGACTTAGGCATAAAATCATTTCTGCCAATACCAACTGTATTGGTGCAATACAATGCACCAAGCCCTGTGAAACTCACATGATGGTCTCTGTTCATGTTTCTTTATTTTACTTGCTATGCTTGCCCTCTTTGCACAGGCTGTAAGGTGTTTGGAACGGGGAATGCCAAAATTTTTAGTACTCACTGTGAGAGTCCACTCTCAGTTGGGTTCTGGGGAACCACTAGAGTCAATATAAATATATGCATACTGATGGTAAAGTACTGTCCATTAGCTGTTAGGAACTCCAATTAAGTCTAAGAACCCTTTCTGGGATAGATGCAAAGCAGACACACCATGGAAATGTTTTTCTCTTCAAAACTAAAGCAGTAAGGCACTTTAAACACATATTTCATTATTAACATGTGAATACTTATAATCACAGTCATCTGTTTAAAGTTTAGCACTACAGTAAGAGTTTATTGGACAGAGGTCAAAAGCAGTGAGAAAGCAGTGCCTGGGAGCTCCCTTGACCTCCAAATAAAACACAGAAAAAATAAACATGTGGGCAGGAGAAGCAGCAATTGTTGCTGCTTTGTGAACAGTGAGGAATTCCAAAGTCAGGTGCCCAAGAGAGCAGGCAGTGCAGTAACAAAGGCTCTCCTTCCTCAACCACAGTATCAGTTTCAAAGACTCACACTATGTATGGTTAGTGCTGTGCAGTGCATGTGTGATGTGTAACACTGAATGAAGGTACTCTCTGTCTGCAGGTGCTAACAGAGCTTCTGAGATGACAGTGACGAGGGACAACATGCAGGAATATTGAACTGGATGTGAAAAAACAAGGGGGCTTCAATGTGACTAAGTCTAAGAAGTCTTTTTAGTAGTGCTTAGCTGTTTTGCTGTTATTTCTCAGTTAATTTTATATGCTGATAAAAGAACAGAGGTCAGATTGGAGGGCACAAAGAAATGCTAACCCAAACCAGCAAGTCTGAAAGAGGAAAATGAGGATTCATTACAGGAGAAATCCACACGGAGCCATGCAAAAGATACAGAGACATTGCTACAGTGAGTTCAGTGTATATAAGCCCCATAGCAAACACTTAACTTGATCAAATGGGCAAGACTTACTGCTGTGAATCTTGGACAACCCCGGACATTGTTTTGTGGTTCCCCATACAAACTTTTCCCTTTTCTGGTGTACATAATTCACACAATTAAAAGTAGCCCATTGCTACTTTTGTGTAATCAGACACCAAGTTCTTACTTATTTCTTTTTCACGCTTTCTATAATTTTCACACTTTCTATTCTTTTCAGTTTTGAATATTTTTTATTTCTTTTCCCTACTTTGATCACTGCTTGTTCCTTATTATTCTTCTTAATCACCATTTATCCATCCCATTCTGTTTAGTCTCCCTCTCTTTCCTTATCATCCATTCATTCATCCATTCTCTCCTTTCCTTTTCCTCAAATTTATTTATTAATTTATTCTATATGTTACTCCCAGTGAGTCTGAGCCAAATAGATGCAAATCAGCTACAGATAAATGTCATCAAAAACAATCCAGCCACAAATCACTCACAGATTCAAATGCATGTATTTATCAGTTGAAGCTCATATCTATTCATTCTTTTTAAAGACTAAATCCAGCAGGGAGAATGGAACAAGTGTCTGTGTGAACCAGAGAAGAACTACAGCAGGGAGTTCAAGGAAAACCAAGCCAGAATTATGTATGAATTAATACATCAGAAGGGCAATGGTTGTATAAGAAAGAGGATACATGACTCAGGAACAACTCAAACATAACCAGACTCTAGACAGAGCAGGTCTAGAGAAAGCTTTTCCTTTTCTTTTGCTCCCCATTGAAAAAATGACAAAACAAATCGAGGCAACTACAGGAAAAAGACAAAAGAAAGTCAAACAGCCATTAGAAAGGAAAGGTTCAAGCTTGCTGCTAATCTATATATTAGATATCAGATAGCGTGTCTAGGCCACATGTAAAGGTAAAAATAACATAGTTTGGACACTCAGCAGTCCTGAACCAACTGGAGAGCACTGACAGACCACACAGGGACTGGCTTTCTGAAGACTGAGCTTTCCAGAAATTTCTGAGAGAAATTTTGGGGAAGACTTTTCAAAATGAATCTATACCTTGAAAAGATACCTCTCAACCTTCTGTTGAGGTCCAAAGACAGAATCAGGAGAACTAAACTATATGAAATAGATGCACAACAAGGTGTCCAAGAATCTGCACATCTTACACCTTAGTGCTCCCTGAGAAATGTGTTGGAAGCCGTGGTTCCTCCCTACAGTACTGTCATCAACCATCTTTCTCACAATGCATGGAAAGCAGAAAATGACTAAATAAGCACTGGGAATGAATTTCCCTATGCAACAGCCCAGGAGAAAGCCATATTTTCAGGTGATAAATGGAATATATGGAATGTCAAATGCATGCCGTTTTCTCAGTTGAGGGACAGACATACCTGAAGAGAATGAAACACACAGTACAGTGTGGAGTAACATGGAAGGAGGGGTGGAAGAAAATCTATAAAGCCTTCATTCATGCTTTGTAAAAACTTCTGTCCTCCTGTTATCAGATTCAACACCGCAACTCTATTTAATTTATTTTGAGAATTAAAAACAAACATTAAATAAAATTTTATAAGAGGTCCCTTGTTAGAGTGCCCTCTTGAAAGTCCCTTCCTGCAACAGAGACCAATAATTCTACAGAAAAAGCAGTATAAGGCCTGGTTTTAAACTGAAAAACATGAGGTTATGAAATTGCAAGGGTCTGAATCCTATTTAATCAGTAAGTTTGCCCCTATATTCCCTGAATTTAAAAACTGGAGAGAAATATACAACATGCAGCACATTTCTTGGACTGTCAATAATTTTGAGCTTCAACATTATTGAACTTGTCTGTTCATATTTAGTTGTTTTAGGACATGATGACCTTTAGCTTATACCCAAGGAAAGGGCAATGGTGTGACCAAGTGCTGCAAAACAAGACAGCTAAATGACAACAATTTATATATTCATTTCATAGACAAACTGAATTCAAACAAAAGAACATTTCTACCCCTGCTTCTCCACTAGAGTTTCAGATTTTGGAACAGTGTATGAATAGATCTCTCTTGAAACATTCAACCATTACCTGAAATGTACCTTTATACCCTTCACAGTAATGAAACCAAGATCTCAAAAAGTGCAATGAAAATGATGTTATTCTGTATCACTGCTGTAATACCCTGTTCTTGAGCCTCTTCTTTTACCCCAGAGACCCCTGAAGCCATTTCTGCTACCTTTAGCTAACCTAAAGACTCAATGTCAAATTCTAGCACTCCAGGAGGTCATTTTGCTCCACTACAACTCATATAGGACTTTTAATCTATAGGGTTTTTTTGTGACCAAGGCATTCAGTTGGAATCAGTGAAGCACTACTGCTTTAGGCAGGTTCATTTTTGCTATACATAATAAATAAGGATAATATCCTGAATTTAATAAGATAGATAATACTTCTTCAGGAAGGTAGAATTGGGCTTCTGAAAAAGCAATTAAAAAGTAACATCTATTGTTTGTTTATAACTAAATGACTATGTTTCAGCTCCCCTGCCCATGTGCAATATTGCATGCCTTGTTAATGTTTTCTCATTAACCTCTTATGAAAATCTGTATGGAAGAAAAATCATCAGAACAAAAGCACAATGTGATACACTTTAAAATGAGCAGGAGGTATCATTAATTTTTTAATGTTGCCCCTCTGTTCTTAAGCTATTAAACAAAAAATCCCCCTTCTCCCTAGGTCACCACCCAAACCATTTATAATTCTTCCAATATATTAAGCAGAAATATTCAGCTGAACTCTCAAAATGGACTAGCTCTAAGAGCTCTTGGCTTGATGACTCTGTAGTACATCAATAGCAAAGCCTTAAGGTTAGGCCAGCTTTGAAAACTTTCCCCTTGGGCATTGTTGTTACATGTTAACAATGCTCATTAATGCTTGGAGGGTACACTAAAAATGAATTCTTGTTCTATTAATACAGAAAATGAGAATGAGATTTAATAGCAATTTTAAAAAGGGTTGAACAAAGTGCTAGCAATTACATAGGCAGAGATAGTTGATTCAAGCATCTATAGGCATTTGCATTACAGTATTATCTCTTATTAAAATATTTTTATTAGTGAACAGTAGAGATTAAGAGCTGTTATTAAAAAAATCACAGAGAGATAGAGACAGGTGGCTCTGGAAACCGAATCAGTTACTGCAATAAATTTGTTTCTGATATAAACTAGCTTTTCAGTGAAGATACCACAGCGATGAATTTACAAACCACTGTGCCTGAGTGTCTGAACTGTTGACTGATCCAACACTTCAATTTCTTTGTCATTCTGAGAACCATCATTAAAAATATACACATGAATGGCCCTGTTCTTTGTTTTTTGCATAATCTGGAGGGGAATATGGTATAAAATGAGATTCTCTCACTCGGAATACATGAATTTAATTTTCTTTACCTTAAAATTTATGCTTATATAAGGCATGAGAAGTGTTTGACTGCAGAAAGAATTAATTTTGGATCTGTTCAGGTGTTTTTTTAATTGAAAAAAAAGGACATGAGGAATTAGGAAGAAAAAGGAATTCGTTTTAAACAAGTATTTTATGTATATCCTACTGTAAGATAGT